ATTTGTACGGAAAATTATTAATTAGTGTAAATTATATTGTTATGAATAAATTAAGCTTAATATATACTCATTATATACCGACACGGTTTGGCGAATTGCCACCATTTCCCATAAGCTTTAATGGCTTGGTTTTTAAACTTTTCAATTAAATTCAATTCAATTATTAAAGTGTTTGACAACAGCCAAAAAGGCCAATAACAGCCAAGCACTAACAACAATACAAACATTACAATACAAAAGCAAACAAAAAATGAACTTAATATATAAATGTACAATATTAATTTATTGCAAAATAATTAATAAGTAAATGAGATAAATATTATAACAAACCAGAAATAATTCTTGACAATAAAACCAAATCAAGAATCTAAGAACAAATAAACGAGATGCGGTAGGTGTGAAGCCTCCTGAAATGTCTTAGTATTAATTTCACGATGTACAGCATCTCATTTGAAGGTCAGACATTCGATCTCGTAAAGAGTTACTGAAAAATTATAAAAAACGACTTGATGGCGTGGGTTGAAGTAACACGGCACATATTAGGGCAAATACATCTGTTTATAAGATATTAACATTTATAAAATTTGTAACTAGATTCATGCAGGTATTCATATCAACTATGAATGTTCTTTTTATATACAGCAACAATTCAGTTGAAACATTTTAAAGTCTTTTATTAATAATAAATATTTTAACATAATGCATTATGTTTTAATGGATTCTTGTATCACAGCGGGCTATTTTGAAAATAATAATGAATCGTCCGTTTCCATGATTATTTTTTATTTCTTCACTAGCTGAGCATACTTTCAGCTTTTCAAGAAGCACTCTGCCCTTTGACTTCATTTGTATCATAATCAGTATTAAATGTTATCCTTTAATTATTTTATGGTGTAATATGTATGGTTAAAAAACATGTCTGCCACGACTAAAAACATTCTGCTATAAAGGAACCTTAAAATTTAAATGGCACAAAAACAAAAACAGGGGTTATGTTTCTGACAACGTGTGGTTATTCACGAGAAAGTGAAGATTTAATTTGAATTTCTTGTTTGCAATTAAACTTGAAGCCTGTCGGCAATATCACGGATGCTTGGCACTCGGTTGATGCAGTTTTTGAGCTGACTGTACTAGTGTGACGCAGCATCGCATTAATCAAGGCAGAAGAACGAACACGAGTAATTTTCACGTACACATATAGTAAGGGTGCATCAACTTAATTTAGACAGAACCCACTTTTAATTACATTGCAGCACAATGATTTATTTACAGGGCTTCTCCCTCAGCCTACGAGCAACGCGCTCCGTTATTTAAAACTGTTCAAACGCTTGAGTGCCTTTCTGAGAAGCAGCGTGCTCGATGGCTGCTTGCATCCATTGTCATTGCAGAAATCGTTTCGTCTGATACCACCTCAGTCTGTAGTAAACGCTGACTCAGGCGGAACAGTCAGATATTCTTCTTCCAGTCAAGTCGGGCAGACCTCAAAAGCAGAAGTTCGCTCTACGTTTCTCCGTCTAGAAAACTCACTGTATAATCGTACGTCCCTTGTCAATAAACTAGTCGAAAAACGTTGTAACGAATAAGCATTATATGAGACAGAATTAAATGGTGTATTATTGCATTAGGGCCTGCTTTCTTTCGAAACGAATATACTATCCGCAAAAACCTGACAAAAAGAGTATATTTTTTTCTAAAAAATACAGTAAGCCCATTCACTTGTGTATGATACTTAGAAATATACGTCCAAGTATGTGATAATTTTATTAAGTACAAAGGGCCTTAAAATTTATTAAAATTGCTTATCTTACAGCCTTAAAACGTACATTGTGCACTCGTGCAACTAAAAAGTGTTTTAACCTTGCAACAATATTTCACGTCCTGCCACGAATTCGAGAAATCCTACCTAAAATTATACGAAGGAACTTACCTAAAGTGGATCTTATATGAAAACAGAAACGTAAAGTTTAAATGGCAAGTCAAGAATTAGAGTTCACTGATTTTCTTCGAATTCTGAAGTGTGATTTCAGCGCTATTATTTACGAACGAATAGACGGACAAACATAAAAAAGTATTTAGTGATTTTGGGTGTTTTCCAGACACAAGCAAAAACAAAAAAAAAACACTATTATAAGTATATTCAGTAGTATAAGTTTACGGGATTATATCGAACGAAATGGGAAACCTGTGGTTTAATTGTCAAATATGAGCGCCTGGGAATGAAGTTGATTAATGTAATGTTGGCATGTTTTTGGCAAACATGAAAGAATATAACGTAAGGAAAGACTCATGAGTGGAAATTTATAGCGCAGATGACTGTTTTATTAAGAAGGTGATACGTAAGTTCATTGCCATTATTTAGACTAGAAAGTTCTAGCTCTGGAGAGGAATCTGTAAATCAGATCTGTTTCTGCAGCCATGAATTTTACCGATTACATATCTACTTGCAGTGTTTATTATTACTGTTCCTGCATTTTTGGGGTAAAGCCGGCCGGGGCGTGATGCTGACCACTCACCCCATCTAGTGCCGAGGTTAAGAATGAGTAGGAGCTATACCTCCACTCCCCCCAAGCGCCTACATGGCGTATAGTGGGAGAGATTTACTTTATTTTTACATTTTTATTATTTAATTCTTCAGAATTATTCATGATTCAGTCTGGCCATGTATTTGCAAATTGGGAACTTATGAATCTTGTTATAATTATGCGTGTTTCAGATCCTGCATAAACATGCAATTCACAATGTAATTAACTTTGAGGTTGCACTTATTTGCATTATATTAATACATGTAGTTACCAATACATTTTGTATAATCAGAGAAGCGATTTACAATGGAAAACTAAGCATATGATCATATCTCATCCGTTGAATGCTGGACAGAATCATAACACGAAGATTGCAAACAAACAAACCCTTCTAACATAGTATGGAATGGTAAATGTGCTGTGCATATTTTGTTCCAAGAGAAAGGGCGAAGACATTAATTAATTAATTAATTAGGAGTTCCTTAATTTATACTCATTTCCAAATACCTTTACGGTAATATATCAAGAAGAAAATAGCGTAGGACATTTAGCATGACGAATTAATACAAAATTTCAGTATTCACACCTGAAGGGAAGATACCACTTGAAAGATAATGAAGGTTAATATTAAAATAAAACTCCCGTGGCGCGATCGTTTCACTAGGGTAATGAGCTTTCGGGTGCCATAAAAGACAGGGAACATTTGGCGATGTTAGACATTATCAGCTTTTCAAGAAAGTCTCATTTCCATGCAATCAGTTAACGTCCATTTGCTTCTTAACGATCGCTAATTATATACACTTTATACACTTTCTGGAGTATGAAGGACACGTAAGTAGGCTGTCGGACTTTATAGATTCAGAATGCCTAGATCAAAATTTTAAGATACTGGACAATGTTTAAACATGTCTCCGATTGAGATGAGCAAAAAATCACCAACTGTTGGTAGATAAGGATTTGAAAAATAATCTTTTTCTCTGTATTATCCACCCGCATTCGGCTGAAGGCAATGAAAAAAAACAGTCATAAGACTAGACCTCACCCTACGTTTGAAATGGGTCCCATGAAAATAAAAACGTATAGCAGAATAACTACACTAGCCAATTGGATTACAATTCTTTAAAGTACATCATCTGAATTAACATTAAATAATGTTCCATTTTGAGCACAGAATTGTTTATCGGTTTCATATCATTATCATAGCAAACACAATAAAGGAAATGAACTTTGCACTGGAGAAAAGCTGTTTTCTTTGAGGATATAAGTAAATTTACAAATATAATTTAGTTCAGTTAAAGCTCAAATATTAAAGCCTCGATTGTACTCCAATTGGCCTATTGATTTTTCGAATGTGAATATAAATATTTGTCTCTATGAACATTACTTCAGAATGTGAACAACATAACATTCTATATAACTGATTTTAATAAATAGTTGTAACCAACATTGCTACACTGTGGATATAAATCCAATAACTAAAATATTAATAATACTTGACATTAGAATAAAAAACGCAAAACGGGCATGTTCCTGGAACTGACTGAAAAGGAACAGATTAAATTTTATTCATTCCGAGAGATGTTTTACGTAGAAAAAGTCCCAATAATGAAATGAAGTAAAAACACTTGCGTATACTTTGTAATGGTCAACATATATGAGAGTATTTTGTACTCTTAACAAGAAACTGCAAAATACTTTTTGTGACTTTAAAATTATTAGCCCGGCTTCCACAATATAAATCACTATGTAATATTGTTGGCTAGAAAAGTTTAATACATATTCCAGCCAACCGTAATACGTGTTATTAACCGTGCAGTAAAGTAACTTTAGTTTGATACTTCGTCGTTTCAGTCATTTGGTTTAAAATTCAAATGACTTTACTCTTTGTGCACTTTGCCATCTAAAGCCGAAAGTCAACTACATACTATTTAAAATTTCACCTCTTATCTCAAAGAAAATATGGACCTCCATTACAGAGATCATCTGGTTAATCAAAATAATCACCGAAGATGAATTTCTACTGGATTGTGTCGTAATTTAACCCTGACAGCCCTGACAACGGAGGCAGCAAGTAGCTCTGAAACGGCTGTAAACTTCTGCCAGAATACACGGTGAAAAATACTAGGAAGATAATCATCTTCAACATCCTAATCGTCGTATCTCTTGGGTTGTAATTACATGCAGTTTGGTAGAAGTTTGCCAACGTTCCAGACGCAGCAATCTTTGGTAAACTCCTACCAAACTACACGGCGATAAAACAAAGAAAACAGTCATCTTCAAATCGTCACATTCGCCGTCGTGTGAACTTCCAAGTCCTACGAAATAATCTGTGTTAATTATGAAAATTATACGAAAGTTACTTGTTAAACCAGGTGGTGCATCTCCTTATCAATGGAGTTTAAGTGGTTAATCCGTAAAAAAACTAACTGTAGTTTCACTAATAATGCGTAATAAAAGCTTGTGGTTTCTTCTTGGCAGTTCCGGAGACGAGTCTGGATATGACGCAGACGAAACCAAATATCAACTCTGTGAAGATATTGTGCATCGCTCGGGGAGTCTATCCGGAACCCAAGATGGCGCTGCTTTTGGGAAATAAGACTAAGTAAGTCGCCAGAATATAATTATAAAATAGGCATCCCTGGTTTTAGCGTACTAAAACCAGGGATTGTGCCAATCATAATATTTTTGTCTCAATTCAAATTGAATGTTTATAGAATTTTTAAAATACGCTTCACTGAACAGAATATGTGTAAGTTAATTTTCATCTTAAATTGTAATGTCTGTTTGAGTTATAAAATAGAAAACACAAATCTGATTCGCTCAAACTTTGTTGCCGTGGTTTAAGCAGTTGCACGCTAAAGCTTAATACATTTTTAACGCTCAGGTGGTATTAAACCGTACGTTAACACCATTTATTGGTTTATGAAACATTAAATTTCTATATTTCATTTAATTTCATTATTTTCAAGACGGCATATGTGTGTTCGTTCTCATTATTTCAAAGACAATTTATGATTCTTTTTGTAGTTTATTAAACGACGCTTTCAGTACCTTTGACTGACTAACATCAGTTAAGATGATTACTACTGTGAGTAAAGAATTGGAAATGATTGTAAAAGAAGTGATTGTGGCCTTATTTAAGGTACCAACATGCTAATTGTCTAGAGTTGTTTAAAAAACTATGAAAAATCTTACTGACAACAGCCGTTCTCCGGGTTTAGATTTGAAGCCAGTATCATCTAAATATAACAATTATGATTATATGTTTACAGTTTGCTTCCGCGTTGCTTCTCTTAATTAATCTGATGAAATTATCAACCAATATTTTATTCAATAGTTTTAAATATGAGTCAAAACATGTAATTTCAAATCACTACAAATATTAAAAGAGACCTCCGACCCATTTTAATAATTCCATTTCATAAGCAAAACAAAGCAAATGACCGTAAGATTAACCAAAGAACTGAAGCCAATATAGGCCCGATTTCAATAATAGCTAAGTTCGCGAAACTTACGTATTTGTCTTATAAATGCACTCTAACAAAGCAGAGTACTTCAAACGCTGACAGTCGCTTAGTTAGTCAAGAAAGTAATTTCATTTTATGGAATTAGGAGGGAGAGAAAGACACACACACACACACACACACACACAC